GAAATCGAAACTCGCGCTTCTGAACTAAGAAAGTTTGGGTGTAAAAAGTGCTTAGTTTGGTATTAGTGAAAATAAACTAGACGTAATGTTATTAATTGTTTCATGTTGTTTTACCCTGAAATAACGAGACGGCATATTACTAATTTGATAGTCTGATTTTAATTGAGTCAAAGGAGTATGTTTATCATTATTGTTTTTTTAATCCGACATCCAAGATTTTAAATTGTTTTTTGAAACTAGATTATACTTCATTATTTGCCGAATTATAAAATTTGTTATAAAGTTTCACTTTGGACTGACGATAATTGTAGTTTCAATAGCATTATTACTGGAACCTCAGGACAAGCCTTTAGTAGCTTTTATTCACGTGATATAAAAAACTATCTAGACAATATTCGACCTTAAACATTTAGTTTTTCTGAAACCAAATAAAGGTAAAAATAATGATGAATAGGTAAATACGGTTCAACTACTTTTGAATGACTCTTTCAGTTGTGTATGCATTATGGACAATATAAATTGATATTAATTCTGCTATTCGACTTGCACTACTAGCCGCAGTTGTGCTTGAACCTTGGGATCTCTGATCTGACCATTTAGCCATAAGTTGTTGCTCGGTTTGAAAATACCAAATACTGATTATAATGTTTTATATTATTGAATGTTTCTTAAAGGTTTATCTGGAATTTTGAAGTAGATATAAGATTTTAGGGATTTGTTCAACTGTAGATAATCTTAATTTACAACAAGTTTTTTAAATTTGTGTTTTTATGTTTAGGCGTGCTTGATTGTTTTTAATTGTTCAGTAGTTTGATGTAAAGTTACATTTTGTTTTTTATACAGTATAACTGAAACCCTGAATTAATTACTGTACATTAAATCAAAACTAAAACTATATTGCATTCGGGCCCATATTTCTTTTCTTTGTAATGTTTTCTTTTATTCCCTGAGCTTAGGTAAGTTTTTCAAAATTAACAATAAAAAGTAGTTTGCAACATTTTTTATCATGAAAAATGCAGAATTTGTTACATCTATGAGTTTTTGTATAGTCAGTTGTATAGCTCTGTAGCGAAGTATTCCACATAAAATGATGTTGTATTCTGTAGTAAGGACATTCTGTAGCCAGTATGAAAGTTCTATAATGAAATGTTCCATATAGCATCATTTGTGGCAGAATACTTCACTATAGAGCTGTAATACTGACTACAGAATTCCCTTACTACAGTATATAGCACCATTTCCCATTTTGTATAGAATCATTCGGTAGCCAGTATGAAAGTCCTATAATGAAATGTTCCATATGAAATGGTGCTATATTCTGTAGTTCGGGTACATTGTAGTCAGTGTTACATCTCTTTTGTGAAGTATTCTACAGGAAACGGTGCTTTATTCTGTATTCGGGCATTCTGTAGTAAAATGTGCTTCATTATTTTTCAGGTTCTTGTTTTTAAATGAAGTGACACAGATTGGTGCCAGCATTGTTCACAGAAATATCTGATGGTAAGTAGTTAGAGTCAAGTGTTTTATCAGTTTTATGAAATATTGACACTGTTGTAGCATTCATGTTCCTCGTGAAACACTTTCTCATGATATACACTATAAATCAATGGGTTTATCTCTTTAATGTCAGAATAGTTTGATGGCAAGTGAAAATAATGTATTCTTCATTCTTAAGACTAGCTTATTCAGAAGTAAGAAACCAATGCTGTACACAAAATACTTGAAATATTCGTCGAAGCATAAGTTTCGATGAAGATACCGTCGTGGAAACAACTTCTCAAAATTGAATTAAAATGTTCAGTAAATATGAAAGATACATTCTCTTGTATCAGCCTCTGTCACTTGATCATTGTGAAGCAGTTCAGTTGTAGGTTACTTATTTATATGTGTGGCTATATATTCGAAAACATGTTTTTCCTTGATTTACAAAACTGATACTTTTGTGGTACATGGTACATATAACGGTCGGCCTTATGAAAGCCGAATCTTTCATCCACTTATATTGGAATCTTTATATTTTACCATCCATTGAATCCTCTCATGCGGTTATATATGATATAAAGTACATTCTTGTGATCATGTGCACCATTGCTGAGCTCGACGGAATCCATTGACCCATCAAAAACAAAAAATATAGAAGCAAACTCAATTCAACTAAGTTAACACTTTTCGTATGGTGAATGTGTTTTGCACTTAAGTATTGTATGGAATAACTTTTATTGTTGTTCTTCACTTTGGTGCCACCATCAAAATATAACAATATGCTTAGAGTGGCTTATAGCTGGTGTCACCATAAAAATATAACAAATGCTTAGAGTGGCTTATAGCTGGTGCCACCATAAAAATATAACAATATGCTTAGAGTGGTTTATAGCTGGTGCCACCATAAAAATATAACAATATGCTTAGAGTGATTTATAGCTGGTGCCACCATAAAAATATAACATATAACAATATGCTTACAGTGGCTTATAGCACATCGACGCACCATATGTGTGCAATAAAAGTGAAAGTTTGAATTATCAGAATTACTGATGTATAAAAAATATAATCTGAACACAAATGAATCAAAAAGTATATTATAAAAATAATTAAAATTTTTTGCTCAAATGCATGAGAGTCAAATCTCTCTCTCTGCTGGACACCAGAATATGATAACAAATGTATGAGAGTTCTGCACGATGGCGTACACTTCACAGGTCTACCAACAGGAAAGGAAAGGCTTTAGATCGGGAGTAAGAACTAACATACTAGTTACTTGTAGCTAGCTGGTTCTGGGTTAAAATTAGCTGCTAACCTGAGTGAAAGCAGTAGTCATATTCCATCAAACAGTATTGTCAATATAACATGTAGTGACACAAGTACTGTCTGGTATGGCCAGTACAAAAACGAAACAGAGGTTTTGCTAGTCAGAGAATCTACTAGAGCTCTGCAGAGATCTTGCAGTGTGTCAGGCAATATCAGATTAGCTATCATTCAGGCCAGTAACTACAGATTACATTCTAGTTAATGGAGATAAAAGGAGATTCACCTCACTGTTGGCAGTGTCTTCGACAGACTGATCAAGCATAGACATTTTAGTAAAAACTCTTCTTTGGAGGTTGCGTAAAACATTTTGACTCAAGTAAATTGCAGATCTGCAGTCAGAAAGTCAAAAACAAACAAACAAACAAACCCGAGAACAATGAAATACTAAAATTCGATTGTAGGAAAAACTTCTGGAGTATAAATATTGTTTAGATGGGAACTAAAAATGCATTTGCAAGTATCTTTAAATCAATATAAATGTTACCAAGATCCACTTGACAGAACCAGATCTATGCCATAAGTGGTATCTAATTATGGGCAGATGACTTTAAAATTGGTAGTTTGTTTTACTGTAGACATATTAAGTGTAGAAGCATCTTAAATTAATTGATTAGCTAGTGTTATTTCAGTAATACTTTGTCCAAAAAATAAAAACATAGCTTCCGTTTCACTTGAGACCACTAGTAGAGAATGGTACTGACAGTCTTTGTGAAAGTAGCAGAAAAATCTAAGCGTGTTACTGGCAGCCCAAGATAATATTTTGGAAGAATCTGATAGACAATTGAATGAAACAAACGTAATCTGTCATCATCATATATATATATATATATATGGAGATTCACCACTGACAAAAAGTGTCACATAATCAGAGCTGGAATTAAGCAGCTGTTGGAAAACATTGTCATATTGCTGTTACAACCAATAATCGTTTCCAGTAGTTGTTGAGTAAAATATTGAAGTACTATCAAAATATGTGTTGACTTCAAATATTAAATGTGTTTTTGTACAAGATTGATATATTTATCTTCTGAAAGGCTTTCACAAATTCAGGAAACTAGTGTCTCATCTGGCTATTAGTGAATCAAATTCGACGATAAAAGCAAGTTAAGACTATTTTTAATACTCAGCGCTATTGGGTTCTATAAGTAATGTCATTCAGACTTTGTAATGCATTTTCTCCTTTTAGTGGCTGATGAAACTCGCATTGCATGGCTTGCATTGTCTTGTTTATACCAAAGACATTACTGTTTGCCAAACGTTTCAAACTGCATCTGATAACCGTATCTCTCACAGTGCAGTGAACGTAGCATGGAAGCTGTTGATCTTGATCAGTTACCTAAGCATTAAGACGTGCAAGAGACAGTACTTTACCGCTGCTGAGTTGCACAGAGATGTGGCACATATGCTGAGTTGCACAGAGATGTGGCACATATGCTGAGTTGCACAGAGATGTGGCACATATGCTGAGTTGTACAGAGATGTGGCACATATGCTGAGTTGCACAGAGATGTGGCACATATGCTGAGATGCAACTCGTGGTTTCCAGAGCGAGAAGTTCTTAGTAATGATACGAGAACTGAAGTATTCTTCATCACTGAAAACACGATTCAGGGCGCCACAAGTTCATTGTCTATAGAATGATGTCATATACTAAAGGCGGAGACGACTCATTCCTAATTTATTCTTATATACAGCACCACTACCATTGATTCAAAAGTTTCTCTATCTATCCTGATATTTATGTTTATTTATAAACAATCGTACTATAAGTGTTTCAGAAGTTTTTTAGTCTTTTTTATTCTTTGCACAGATACGTATACACAGCTCCACTAGTTTTCTATTTCACTACAACTGATTTAAGTATTTCACTATTTGCTTTGGTTAAATGCTTAAGTAGGACCAATCAAACCATGTTTGTTTCTGTGTATTCATCTGTTATTCTTTATATACAACTGACTTGGAACTAACATTTCCTATTATATTTCAATACTTATATCTATAGAAAGCTTCTCTACAAAGGACGTTAACATTTTCTTTTTGATTTCGCGTTTGTATATGTATTAATTTTTAATACATCATATTCAAAATAGAAAGTCATTTTTGAACTATGAATTCCAATATGTTTAAAAGCAAGCTTATTATAAAATGCCCAGATTATCTTATTTATAGTTCGTAATAACAAGTCAGTTGAATAGTTCTAAACTGTATGAATTTATTGAGAATGGCAGTGAAGAATGGCAGATATGGAGTTTTTCGATACATATGGAATTATTCATAAGTTTTAAATGATATTTTCACAGATAACGGATATTAGAATAGGGCAGGTATTTCAAATGTTTGTGATAAAGTAGGTGGAATCTGAAACATAGAAATTATGAATAGAATGTATAAGGAGAAACGTGAGACCCATGTGGAGACACATAATACGTGGCAGAAGTATTTGTGTCCACCATAGTGGAATATAACGTTGGAGCTAAGTTGTTCCAGTACATCCCAGATGATGGAGTAGAAGCGTCTGTCGGTGATGGAAGATCTCCACTACATTCCTTTTCTGTAAAGTATAATGTGTTGCTTTCACTGCTAGAGGTAGACATATTTATTTGATTATTATACCTTGGACTTTCTGTGGTGCTAGGTTTGACCGCTTCACAAAGCCCCTCAAAGTCGAACTTGTATGCATAACGTTTACCATGTACCTTTGTCACAATATTCTTGCCATAATAGTACCGAAGGGCACGGCTAAGTTTGTCATAATTCATATTGGGCTTCGACTTGCGCTCTCCCCAGCGACGAGCTACTTCGTCGGGATCTGTGAGTCTAAACTCTCCGTTGGTACCCTCCCATACAATGCAGTTGGCATTATTGCGATCAGACAGAAGTTCCAGAAGAAACTGCCAAAGTTGTATCTGTCCACCAGCTACAAAGAAAACCAAGTTCAATTAAAACCATAAGACATAACTGGAACGAGCTCTTAAATCGCAGAGGGAGTAAACAATTTTCAGGATAAGAGTCTGACATGGTTGAAATTTGTTCACAAATTGAAAAGAAAACAAATCTAAGTTAAAATTTAAGAATCAGGTTTGGGTTGAACTAATTCGTAATTTGCAAGAAGAGTAATTTAGAGATAATGACCTGATTGTATTATAACTACTACCCAAATTTAAAAAGAAGTTTCAGGATAATTATTTCATGAAATTGAAAGATTTCCCAAATTGAAAAAAGAAAAGAAAAGAGAATCACTGTATTTAAGGATAACTAACCATATTGTGAATTGAGTATATTATTTTAAGTAAAAGTATCTGACAACATTAAAACTATTATAAAGTTAAGATAACAATAACTGAATAGAAATAACACGTGATACCTTCCAGAATCCTGTTAACTTTTCTGAAATTGAAAATAAGAATTGCTATATTTAAGGAAAATTATTAGAGGTGGTTGAACAATAAGTTTCAAGATATATTCCAAAGAGAACTGATAAGATCTTACTTTACAAGATATATTCCAAATAGAACTGATAAGATCTTACTTTACAAGATATATTCCAAAGAGGACTGATAAGATCTTACTTTACAAGATATATTCCAAAGAGAACTGATAAGATCTTACTTTACAAGATATGTTCCAAAGAGAACTGATAAGATCTTACTTTACAAGATATATTCCAAAGAGAACTGATAAGATCTTACTTTACAAAATATGTTCCAAAGAGAACTGATAAGATCTTACTTTACAAGATATATTCTAAAGAGAACTGATAAGATCTTACTTTACAAAATATGTTCCAAAGAGAACTGATAAGATCTTACTTTACAAGATATATTCTAAAGAGAACTGATAAGATCTTACTTTACAAGATATATTCTAAAGAGAACTGATAAGATCTTACTTAAAACGAAGATCAAACGAACAAGATTTGGAGATTTGTATCAGAAATGGTTGGAACTAATTTCAGAAGTGTAATAAAAATCATATAAGAAAACATGTTGAACCAGCTTACTGATTACAAGGAAAAACATGGTTAGCTGAGTCAACTTACTAGTTCCAATTATTCTTTGATATTTAAAATAACTCATTAGACCTAAGAAAATGTTTTTAGTTGCTGTAGGTAAAAAATGCCTAGCTAAAACAACTAGCTGTAAGAAGCAATATTCTAGTGAGACAACTCACTAGTTGTAAGACAAAATATATATTTAATTGAAACTATTCACTTGCACTAACAAAACCATTTTCACTGAGACATCTCACAAACTGTAATAAAATTTGTTTAGTTTAAACAAATCACTACCTGTAAGGATACAGTTTATTTCAGCCTGATTGTAAGAAGTCATATTATTTGAGCTAGATCATTTTTTAAGAGTTGTAGTTGCTGTTGTTTTCTTCGTGTACAACTACACAATGGGCTATCTGCTGTCTGTCCACCGTGAGTAATCAAGCCCCGGATTGTACTATTTTAAGTCTATAAACTTATTGCTGTCATCCGGAATACTACTCTAAAGAAAAGATGAGTGAGGACCGACAGTACTGTAAGAATAGAGTTTATGTAATACAAACTACTACATGGAAGGGAAACATTTCGCTGAGACAAGTCCCTATCTGTAAGAATACAGCTTAAATCAGCATGTAAGAGGTAATATTTGTGTTAC